CCCCCCCCCCCCCTGTATCCCTCTTAAGTGGTTACTTTGTGTCGACGTCCTAAGCATCTGGTTGAGCAGCGTGTCTGAAGGTGTGCAATCTGGCCCACCCTTGTGCCCCAAGTCTACGCCGAACTTGCCAGCCCCTGCACCTTGTTTATCCTCGCATGCAACGAGCCTTACACCCGGTTTGACCTGGCTGATCAAGAGGCAGTTTAAGGATAGCCCCCAAGGTCCTCAGGAATTATTTAACATCGCAGACGGGACGACGATCACAACCAGAGTCGACACCGAGTCCCGCCAGAAATATTTATAGAAGGTCTGGTGAGCGTCTGTTCAATGGGCTGGCATGCCCTGCATGAACTCTATTGCACAGTAGCAAAACCAAGGACTTGCGGCAAAGCATGCGTGTACTAGTCCCAACGGGTTAGCATGGTGATTGTGACCCGAGTACTTCATCTAGGGCCCTTCATAGGCTTCGCCCGTCTCCCACCAGCTTGCTACCCAAGAAGAATGTAGACTCTCAAGGTTGAGCGCTCGCGACACCTCACATTGAGAGGACTCTCAAGACAGAACTCACTTACTCACGGTAAGAAGTAATGAAGAGGGTAGATAAAGAAGAGAGCAACGTACCTCATAATGCTGCCCCCGACCACAAATTTCTCACCGGCAACCTGATGTGCATTTACGATGACCGGTCTTTGCCTCGGCACAACCAACACCAGAATGCAGTTCCACCTCGGCCTAAATACCACATCTGCGAGTTCTCATCATCCAGCGTACACCTCTAATGTCACAACATAGCTTCCTGGCACAAAACAGCTATTGTTCAACGCCCAAGCCTTATCACTGCCCTACACCTCACAAAACAGCTATTGCGAAGAACCAATGAAGCGCAGTTCGAACCAGTTCCGATACCAAATTGCAAGGAAAATGAGCAACAACGAGATGACAATGCCCAGAATGCACAATCACATTGAAGGCCAGATAGTATCACAGTGTCCAGAAAGCAGAAATGCACCAATAAAACACCAATTAGGCCCGCCTTCACTTAGGGCGGGCACATCTGCAGCAAGGGGCACCTTAGGCCTGCCGAGGACCCAGATCCTCGCATTCCTTTGAAATTGGAAACTAATATTAATTAATTCTTTTTCAACTCTTTGTTCGAAAATAACTTCTTAATTCTTTTTCGAATATATATACATATTTTTCATGGTAACCGCGGACCCGAACACCTCCGAACTGTTTCCCGGACCTGCGTTTGGACCAGTCCGGTGTTCCCAACATCAGCGGACACTGGACACCGCACTATCCAGACTGTGTTGGCAGGGACATGATGTCCGAAAAAAAAAAAAAAGGCGGGGAGGGAGCTCCGCAACCTCCCCCTACCTCTGCCTGTCCCAGAACCTCCCTACGTCTGCCTGTCCCCCTACCTCCCGAACCTTCTCTACCTCCTGAATCTCCGGCTACCTTCGCTTGTCCCCCCCCACCTCCCCGAACCTCCCGAACCTCCTCCCTCGCCCCCCCTACCTTCGCCTGTCCCCCTCACCTCCACCTATCCCCCTACCTCACGATCTTCCCCCTTCTTCCGCCTTCCCCGCCCCCTCCCGAAAGTTCAAAAGATTGGAGCACAACAACAGTACACTACAAAAGATCCGAAAGAACGCAAAACAACAACAACAACAATCAATCAATCAATCTCCACGAACATCCTATCCCCCATCTTTCCCTCTTCCCCCTATTTCCCCGAGCCTCCCACCCCCCTCCTATCTCACCGAACCTCGTTCCTCCCACTGCGTGCCTTCCCCCTCCCTCCC